AGGAGGGAGCGAAGGAGCGAAGGAGAGAGCAAGAGAGGGAAACGAGAGCATGACTGACTTGCTCGGCCTGATGTGTGCTGCTACCAGGTCAATGCTGTCAATCTTGAAAGAGAGGCCCAACAAAGGTGAGCATGGAAGAGCAGGTCGCAGGATGAGCTGATTGTCATGTTACAGGCCTTGGAGCATATGCTTACAATGTTGAGAACACTGTCCTTGGAAGCCGCGGAATGGACTTCTGGGCTTGTAAGCAGAGGACAGGAGGGGAGTTAGCAAAACAGAGAAGGGGGAGAGGGAGGGAGGACGTGTTGACAGCCGGGGTGGGGGCGGAAGAAGCTGTGTGGTTGCTGTTGCTAACGATCTCCATGCGCAGACGCCAACAACACAAGGCCGCTAGAAAAGGACGCCTTCACCCCCTTCCACTGAGAGTTCGGACGCGCTCGTGCTGTCTTGTAGATTCTCGCCCATGCTGTGAATTTTCTGTGAAACCTGAAAGAGCCCCAGACTTTCTTCTGTTTTAAGTTTCTCCTTACCCCAACCTCTGTCTTCCTCCTCCTCCATCTCCTTCGCTCCACCTCATCCTTCCTCCGTCCTGATTTGAACGAATCGGTCTGTTGTATGCTTTAGGAGCAAGAAGAATTCATGGGAGGGACGCAACAGACGGGGGGGAACGGGGAACAGGAGGGACCAGGGAGGGCAAGGGGAAGGGGGATGGGAAGGAGAGAGCCGATTCCCGCAAGCGATCTTACTTTTCACGTTTGTAATATGTTTTCACTTCAGTCTCATTCAAACTTGTATTTATTGATATCATTCAAACTTGTATTTATTTATATCATTCTAATTTCTATTCAACTTGTTCAAACCTTCATTCACATCGCCCTGCCAACTTTCACTCCTCCACCCTTCACTTGACGTCGTTGTACATAATCCCCGTCCCCTCAAGTGTTGTTCCCTCTATCCTTCTCATCTGTAGTAGCGACGCGGCGTCTGCACAGTCCTCGCCGTCAGGTATCCAGTCCGAGGTGGCTGACGGTCCTTGTCCGTTTCCCTCGAGGTCAGCCAGCCAGGGAGGGAGGTCTTGAGGACGGGGAAGAGAATCTCGCTGGACGCCTTGTGCCTGGCCTTGAGACTCTCCCCGGGGGAGACGCGGGCGACGTGAACGCTCTGAGGGAGGCGGCGGGAGAGGCGGAGCTCGAGCTTGGGGTCGACCTCCATCTCGATGGGAGCAGAGGGAAGGGAGAGGTGCACCTGCTTCTTCGAAGAGACCTGCGGGTGATAGAACCTGCGCACAGTGAGGAAGTTGGGACTCCTCGTCGGCTCCTCATGCGATGGGCTGGAGTAGCGGACGAGGTACGCGGGCTTGTAGACGACGGGCTCCGAGCGAACCTTCCTCATGGTGCCGGTGAACAGCCTCTTGGGACTCACGTCATTCCTCCGCAGGTTCGCTGTGCCATGGTAGTCAGACGCCATGATGCTGATCTGCTCGTGAAGGGCGGGAGGCAGCGCTCTCTTCTTCCCCTCATCCCTGGCGACTTGTCTTGCCCTCTCCTCCTTTTCGCTCGCACTGTCTGCATGCTGGCTCGACTCTTGGACGTCTTCTTCATTGCTGTATCCGTTGAGTGGTTGATTGCTCTTCCCGTGCTGACAAGCTTTGCATCCTTGCAGGCAGAAGACGTTGAGCTTCATCCTGATCAGATGCTCGAACTCATCCTGCGCAGTAGATCAGCATCATCATCGTCTCATCATCCCCGTCAGCTCACCGAGTCTATGAAACCATCATTGTTCAGATCGAACTCCGCAAGCAAGGCCTCCAGCTCTGGTATCGTCATTCGGAGCCCCATGGCAGCAAACGCGTTTCCCAGCTCATGTCTGATGGCAGGTCTGCGTCAGCGGGGGCGGGACGAGAACTTTGGGAAGGCTACATGTCGAGCTGGTCGCTGCCGTTGGCGTCGAACTTCTTGAAAGCAGCCTGGATCTTGTTGGACAGCTGAGGCCGCTGGTTAGAACCAGTGAGCGCATTAGCAAAGGATTACACCTCTGCGCTGGAAACGCCAGAGAAATACTGGATGAAGAACTTCTTTGCATTCTCCAGTGTGCTGGGGGTAGGGCACATGTAAGGGGGACGGCTAACAGTAGCAGGCTGACTGACCTGGCGGTTGATGAGATCGTAGAGGAGACTGAGCTCAGGCGCTGAAAGAGCGAGCCCTTCAGCTCTGCTATCCTGTCCATCATACACTGTACAGAATGTAAGAAATACTTCAGCAACCCCGATAGCAGCAGCAGCACCTCCTCCACACTCTTGGTGCGCGTAAAGACATCTGTAGCCACCAGCCTTTTGAGTCCCTCTTCCAGCGCCTTGTCCTCTGATTCCGAGTCCATCGTTTCAAGCTCTGGGATCATTCCCTACGTTCTCCTCAAGCACAAGAAACAAGCTTCCCTGTTGCAAACCAAACTCAGCGGCGACCCAGAATACTCAAGTTTTCTGAAGCTACAATTCAAGGTAGCTTCGTCAATTGCTCTCAAATAACACACTAGACTTGAATTCAATGCCTGCCCACTTATCTCATCAAGTGTCATTGTAGATTACACCGATTGCTTTTCTACACCCCCCAAAGCTCTTCTGCTTGCTGTCATTTTCGATCTCTACCTCCCACCGTCCAAGTGCACCTCCCCGCATTCCGAGCTCCCAGAACTTCATTTAGTCCTTCCCCTTCGTGTTTGTTCATTCCCCAAGAGTCCCTCTCAGACTCTCGCATCAGTTCGATAGTGTTGTCAGTTTCTCCGTGCTCGCGTTTCACAAAGTCCATCCGTCATGGTCTTCCTCGTTACATTCCATCCCCAGTGCACGTTGCCTTCTCTCCGTTTCTACCTTCTTCCTGCTCTCTCCAATGATCCCCCCTTCTTGCTTCCTTCTTGATCCCTTAATCCTCTCCTCCTCTCCTCCTCTCCTCCTCGCCTATCCTCGAACGCTTCACTGCGCTCGCTACATCCTGTCCTGATCCCATCGCTCATGTCATTATTGATTAAAACTGTATTGTAAAATTGCATCGCTTCACAACTTTGCTAGTACTGTTTTAGGGTCCCTATCAGTGCCCGGCAGGGTGGGGGTTGGAGATTAGATTCTGGACGTTGTAAAATAGGGGTGGTGTCACGAGGAACTGGGGGTAGGGGGTTGCGGTACGGACACAGCTGCTTCATTCCATGGGGTGGGTGGATCATGGAAGGACTTGATGTTAAACGCAATTTTTCACCGACGGGGTGGGGTGGTAGGGCTATGTCTTTGCTAGGGGTGGTTGTGAATGTGGAAATCCTCGACAGGGGTGGTACTTCCCTGAAAGGAGTCAGGATATGTGGGGGTGATGGTAAAAGGGGTAATGAGAAGAAGGGGTGGGGGTGCTCTCTTCAATAAACCAGGTACCCCCTTCCCCCTTTCAGATTCACTTTCCACCACCCCACCTCAGGGATTTTACCCTTTTGGCCTCATTCTGCGGGGAGGTGCCGTAGGGTGGTCTGGAGTACCCCCTTGTTACTAGAGTTTTGGGTACCCCCCCCCCCCCTTTAAGTGAACCCTCACTGGATCAACCTACAAAGATTTCAGTTGAACTATTCGGCGTTATTACACTCGTTACAAAACGTTACTGGCTGTCAAAACACTTGCAACGGATGCGGTGATTGTTTTTTTCTTCTTCTTGATGTCCTCTGTTGAACATCGTGCTTCCTGCCGACTGCTCTTCACATCCTCACTACTCTGTAGCTAGTATGATGCAATGTAACACGTCTTTGACTTGGCTAGCCTACACGCTTGCCTCCTACTCTCTCAGATGATTGACACATACCCAACTGCTTTTTCTTGCCATTGATTTGTCGACAGGCTCTCTCTCCGCTCAATTGTTTCAATGCCGTTGCCAAGTCTAGGAGATTCAATCCTCCCCTCGGAAACTGCTTATACTCCGCCAATCCCACCCGAAATTTCCTTCTCCTCGCACGAACACCATGATATTGTTCAGGCAAGTCAGCGACTGGTCAGCTACATGCGTGAGCACTGCGAGTCGCATGCTGAGATCGAGAAACTTCTTCGCCAAGAGCGCGACCGCGCGATTGCAGATTGTGAAAGCTTGACAAATGCATTGGACGAACTTTGGACGGAGCACTCGAGATGTGGAGACTTTAGCACCCGTGTTAGAGATGCCGAGGACAAGCAAAGAGAATATCAAGAGATTATCACAAGATTGCGGTCACTCTTACGATCCGCATTGCAGCCTTCTCACGTGTGTGCTCTGCGACAGTCAGCATATCGTTCAGGTGGAAAGTGAGAGAGATGAGGCTCGGAGGTGAGGTTTCTTTATCGATCTTTGCGTCTCGTGCTGCAGCTGGAAGAGTTGTTGAACCATCGGCCCAGGTCTTACGCAGACGTGAGCAAGAATCTAGAAGTGTTGAAGATGGCAGAGAACGAAATGCGGACATCACATATCTTCGATCAAGAAATGCAGGCAAAGTATGCTGTCCTTCTGGAAATGCATCGAGGCTGCGAGCGCACAATAGCCGAGCTGAGGTGACCTCAACTTTCTTAGCAAAGCAAGAGACGCTGACCTTTCCTCTTCGCCTTTCCCCCCTCCCTCCTTCCCGGCCAGACAAACGATCTCGGAGCTACAGATCCACGGCCATGCCGAGTGTCAAATGAGGCTCTCGCAGGAGGTCAAATTGAGACAGGCAGCAGAACGACAGCGAGACATCATAGCAGGCGAGTTCAGGGAGTGCTGTGCCACAGTTGATACCCTCAGGCATTTCACACTCCTCTTTCTGCTCAGCTCAAACAAGGTGCAGGAATGAAGTCCAGCTGATGAAGAGCTCGTGCGGCGTCGGCATTTACGTCGCTCACACCAACATTGACAGCCGGGTGCGTGTGTCCAAGGTTCACCCAGGGGGAGCTGCCTGGTACGCTTGCCACAAAGGTGACTGGAACTTTGACAAATATTTACACGCCTGAAACTGACAACAAATCGGATGCAGGCGGCCTCGATCACGACTTTCTCGAGGTAACTGTGGGGTTGAGGCAGTTTCGAACCTGACGTGAAACATGCATAAGCCGGGAGACATCATCGTTGAAGTGGATGGCAAGCCAACATATGACGACCTTGACGTAACAAGCAACTTGTGTCAGGGAGTGCAGGATAGCATCTGCACACTCAAAGTCATTAAGTGCGGTTCATCCTTTGCTCGACGTCTAGATGAACCAGAAGAACAGAGGACACGCACGATGAGGATCAGGCGAGCTCCTCGGCTTCCAGAGGCTGCATGGATGGAGGACGTGGCATCGGGAGCTCTTCTCCGATGCCACCAACCAGAATGCCCTTGCAACACCTTAAAACGCTCCGCTCGCTCTCCATAAATCATTGAGTGATGCTCGCGGCCCCAAAATGAAAGTCAGACTCTCCGCACGGAAACCGTCCGATTGGCTTAGTCTGATGACAGTGACCGGACGCTCCGGCCCCCCCCCAACCCTGCCCGGGCCCCCGGCGGATCGTCACGGCCGCCGCGGCCTGCACCCGTGACTCTCAGGCTGGCCGGGCCGCGCCCCGGGCCGGGGCCCACTACACTGTGAGTGACAGCCCGGCAGGCCGGTCGGCCGTACCGTAGGACACTGAAGCGGCCGCCGGGCCCAACTGACTCTGTGAGCCGACTCCCGAGGCTAGCCTGTGACCTGATATTTTATAAACAGTTGTAATTCCATAGCTATACGAAGCGTCGCATATGGGACTATTACCCTTGTACAAGTTTAGTATCTAATTATTATTTCCTATTGGTTTTTCAATAAAAGTTTTATAAATCCCTAACATGTAGTACAAAATGCTTCGAACATTTATATTTTCCTATGACCCAATGGTTAGGCTGTTATAATCATCCCTTATGAAAGGTACTACCTTCTTCAGCGTCAGCGTACTAATTTCTTTTTATTCTCTAGGGCACAAATAGACCTCACCTCAGTATGAATATACATCTCTAGGACCCTGGTATAACCACCCTACTACTCGGTTTCAGCGAGAGCTTCCGATGCCCCTGCAGCGCATGCCGGGAGTGGAGGGAGGTGGAGGGAGGGAAGCTGCGTGCGAGAAGAGGGGAGGGGGAGGAGGAAGAGACGATGGATCTATCTTCATGACTTTAAGCCGAGACGTTGGTGAGGCTGATTTATACATGAACAAGTTGTTGGGTTAGAAGACGAGGTTGGGCTGCTGGCACCAAGTGAGGTAGGAGCGGGTGTAGCAAGTCAGGAAGACACAGAATACGAAGGAGTAACGACTTCTGATTTTTTGAGATTTGCTGTTTTGAGGATATGAGTGGACATCAGAAGCCATCTCTAGTCGATATCTCATCGCTTAACTCGTCCTCCAGGTGTTTGCCTTGAGGCCGTAAAATCCTCCAAGCAAGTTTCCTCGCTTGGACCTCAAAGATTCAAGCTTCAGAATGCCTCCATGGCGAAATACAAACAGGACGAACTTCATAGGGTCAGCAAGCTCGACTTCTAGATTAGATCACATAGCACGCCTCCATTTTTCTGACTTGACTGTCTTGAGAGAGCCTGGGCTGGAAGTCTTTGCTAGGGACACACCTTTGACGGATTTGGTGAGTGCTTGGAGGTTGAACTCAGCAACTCTCACTTACAGATTGTTCGGCAGCAACCCGAGCCAGATTCTGCTTTCTACGGGGAGTCAATCGACGAATTCGACAGCACCGTGATCCAGTTCGAGGTGGAGAATGCTCAGCTGGAATGGGACTACCCGGGTGTGGAAAAGGAGGCTCGAAAGCTTTCATCCAAACAGAGTCAACAGCTTCTTGCTCATCCTAGCTGTGCTTCTGCATACGCGTCTTTGTTGCAACGCAGGGTCATCTGTTTCCGAGAGGTTTGCTTCGTACCTATACGATGATTTGCATCTGATGACGTTGCCAGGTGCTGACGGCGGCCAGTCGCCATGCAGACGATCACTTCGGAAAGGAAAATGTGAATGGTACCCTGGAGGTAGGAGTGAATGCCTCTGCAGGCCTGCAGGAATCAGATTCCCGTGATGCTCCCTCGCGTCCTATGTTAGTTCAACAAATGCTATGCACCTTCTTGGAATTGGCAGACAGTAGTGAAGGCGAGGCTTCTAAAAGGTCACTCATTGTTGTTGGAGACTTGCTTGCGGCTCAGAAGCCTCTTGTACTTGTCACAGAAAGACCCACTTGGCTTTCTAAGCTTCTGGAGTGGCTCGCGAAATTCTTGTCTGTCAACCAGCAAGCAAGTGATTCTTTTGTCAAGGGTGCGGCAGCCGCAGCAATGTTGAATTTGGGGGTTTGCTCGGGTTCACTGAGATGTATTCTAGCCACTCTTGCCTCACTCCTGATGAACCTGAATAATGGAACAATGCAAGATATTGGTTCGTTTTCTGCCGAATATGGAAAAATTGACTACTCGCAACTCGGGTCAGGAGTAAAGCGTTTGGAGATGAGCTGTGCCATTCCACCCTCATCTACTCCAACCGGAGGACGTACTATTTTTTTGCCGATTTCTCAATTAGGTTCGCCTTCTTTGGTTCCTTCAAGTGGTGGTGGAACATCAAGGGGCGCTCGGCTTCAAATGTCATCTAGTTCCACATGCCACAAATTTGTATCTGTTGCCTCCGATGGCAAGTACATTTATGTGCATAGCACACATGGTTTGGTGAAATATGGCACTGGATACCATGGTACAATAGCTGGGCATGTGTATCTGCACAAATCTAGGTATGTTTTAGAGGCTTCGTCTAGACTCTGTTGCGAAATGCTGATCAACTTTCTAGGTATAGATCTTCAGAACGACCTTGGATAGCATGTGCAGGAGGCTTCTTGTATCTGCGTTCGCCAAACCTGTCTCCTAAAAGCATTCTGATCATCGACTCCAAGACTTTGGAAGAAGTTGGTACGTTGCCAGATAAGGATACAAAGAAAGGTGCTGGAGTGAATTTGATGCCCGAGAAAGGCTGGAATCAGTCTTCTGGTCATACCGACTCCTCAAGGTCCGCTGAACGGCCTGGAAACTCCAGCGGTGCATCCTCCAGAGTTGGTAAGTCTGATTCCATTTATCTACAATTGGATGATTGTGTCACAGAGAGGCTAGAAGGCAACATGCAGATGGGCTTGACTGAATTAGAATTGGAATCTTCAGAAATAGATGATCACATGTTCCTAGATGAATTCTCGCCCAGTCAGACTTTATTCCGGCAATATCACGACAATCGGAGCCGGTTCAGGCAAAGAAGAGAGTTTCTGTCGCCACTGGAGCATGCTGGCAGAGCTGGCAGAGCAGCTGCGCTTCAAGCTGCGCGGGAAGGAATAGAGATGGAAAGGCGATCTTCCGAGACGAATCTCAGTTCTGAGCGCTCACCGCTCATATCGGATGGACGATACCTCCATATTATCTCGAAGAGTCCAGACAAATTACAATCTGTTGTGCAGCCTCAGATGCAGCAATCTGATGTGCGAGAGGAGGATGACGAGTCATCAGAAGGAGGAGGACAGATTGGATCTACCTGGCCGAATTTTTCATTTTCAATTGATACTTTTGATCCGTTGGAAAACATGAAGCATGTTCGTTCGGTCGTCATCAGGGGACCTCCGTGCGACTATGGGATCCATGAGGGAGAAGGAACGCTCTGCTGTGATGTTTGTGGATTGCTCCTCATGAGCAGTAGCTCGCCAGGGCATCGATGCCAAGTGTGTCATCCGGAGTATGATCTGTGTGATCAATGTTGGATGCGAGGAGCCTACACTTCAGGTATGCTCGTCCAATGCTTCTTTGTCTTTTTGTAGATTGATCTTATTGTATTTTGCAACATCAGGTCATAAACCGGATCATCTCGTAAGACAAATGGATACAGTCCCTCAAAATGAATCTGGTGGAGAGCAGATATTTCTTCCTGCATTTCCAGACAAATGCATGGAGTATCAGTCATTCTACACCGATGGAACCTTTTTGATGGTTATCATACCGCCACATCATTGCCAATCGAAAGTGCCGGGATATTTGTGCCGAGTTTTCGACATGAAGGAGGGTCATTATTTATACGACATTTCGCTTGGCGATGCACAGGAAGATCCAAGGAGGGAGCTGGGAAAAGGTGGAGCGACTGGCGGATCTTGTTATGATCCATTCAATGATGTTGTATGGAACATTGATGTTGATGGCCTGAAGGTGAGGAGGTGGCGGCATCCCTGGACTTCAAGTCTTTTACAGCAGAAGTCGTCAGAAATATTTGGCAATGATGTTGACATGGCGGTTGATGATGCGCAAAAAGTTCCCTGCATCAGAAATGTGATGGAATCCATTCTAAAATGCCTTTATGAAGCTGCGGAGAAGCACGCAAGGTGTGTATTTTCGTTTCGAGTGTTGAATTTTTGAATTTGACCTGGATTTCAGATGTGTGATGGAACCATGCCATGATGTATTGCAATCTTGGGTTCCATTCTGCATTGAAGCCATTCCGGAAACCTTCCGCTTGATTCTGGAAATGATGAATTTCTGTATGAAAGGGGAGGGTGCATGGTTGAACAGATTTGTTGACTCAGTTTGCGAGGATAGAGACATGAGACAGGACTTACTGACGTTGCGCACTTGCATGCGTCTTTTGGTCGTAAATATTGGTCAAGTAGATGACAAGATGCGAGAGGATGATGATTTTCGCAACGTCCTTAGCGCACTGCAGAAGCAAATCTTGATTTTAGCAGAGATTCCTGCAGCTTCTTTCTCGGAAATCGATCCGATTCTGAGATCAACTTGTGCAGAAGCAAGCAATGCACTTGTCGCAGGCTTTGATATTTTCTTTCCGGATGCGGAGCAGCAAGCATCTCTTCTATGTCAACTTCTTGAGCAAAAGAAGAAGGGTCGAGTCTTGAGATCTGCTGCTGCTCACTTGGCTAAACCTGGTGTCCTAAATCACATCTTTTCGATTTTTGATGGTCGATGGCTATCAGATTCCGATCAAAGAATGCAACTGGCCGTGAAGCTGTTGTTGTTGTTGTTGGACAATGCAGACCAAGTATCTCAAAATGATCAACCGTCGCAAAACGTTGAAATTTCATCTCAGCTGGAAGACTCTGATGCTATACATGAAGACTCTCACATGTTGAATTTGCTAGCTGCGTTTCAGAGGCACATGCTCAGTGTTCCTTACAGTTCATCGAGATCGACCGGGGAATCAGAGTTGTTGTTGATGACTTACGTGAAGAGTTTGCTTCAAAAAGCTGAGAACAAGATGAAGGAGCTTGTGAAGAATCAAGACGAGAAGGCTGTCGTGCCTTCGTACATTCGGGTTTTAATTCCAACTTTGATCACGGCATTGTTTGACAATGCTTG